TTTTTTTTTTTTTTTTTTTTTTTTTTTTGCAGAAAGAATAAAAGACAAAGGAGAAAATATCTAATTTTTGAGAAATACTACAGTCTTGTTACGAAATCATTCCGTCAAAATTTGTAACCGTTAAATCATCATATAACCGTCGGAGATAATTGATTTAGTTACAAACCCCGATGAAATGGTTCCGACATTTTTCCTAAATTTCTCTTTGTATTATCTCGAATAGCAACTTAGAGTCGAACGACTTTAAGAAACGCGCTGGGTGAAAGAAAATGCAGCAGAGAGGAGAAAAATGCGTAAAGCAAAGGCACTACTGTGTCTGTGACTCACCCCGCACCTTGTGGCCACGTCCGCTTCAATTTTCCCTTTCCATCACTCGCCGGAGGTAAAATACCAAGGAGGAGAAAGGGGGAAAATCGTACGGATTCCGATCTCAGTCTCCCTGAACCCTTGCTGCACTCAATCTACCAATCTCTTTCTACCCTCTTTATCAGTGAGTAGCTGCTGGATTAAGTCATTCAGTATCGTGTTAGTTTGATATATTGGATTGATTGATCAATTGGTTGAATTTGAAGGATAAAAAGTGATCGGTGCCCAAAGCGTGGGAGATGCAGAGGCAGAGGCAGAGTCCGCCGAAGCACAGGCACGATGGGACCTCGCCGTTGCCTTTGGGCATGGATTGGAGCCCTCCGCCCCGTAGTTGGGTACGCCTTTTTTTTTTTTTGAAAAATTGATTATCTCTTAGTTTTTATACTGTGATTAGTTCTCAGATTATCGCCGGTTAACAAATGACCACTTATTAAGCTGTGAATGATAAGGATTCCATTTGGATGCTAGGTGGCTTGTATGTGTGGTTTAAGTATAGTTAGCTTGTGATCAACTATAGTTGCACAAACGTTTTAGCGTTGTGCTAAGAGAGCTTATTTTTTCAACCTCTCGTTCTGTACATAGAAAGATCAACTGATGATTCTTTTTTTTTTTTTTTTGGAGGTGAATCCTGGATTCTTATTAGAATTGCATTTTGTAAGGTGGTTATGCAGATTTTCTTGATTCAAAACTGGTGCATATGAACTACATTTTAGATTGTTTTGTAAGATGGGGATTCCGTGATGAATTAATGATAGTTCTGTAATCCAGTGGAAGCACTGAAGTAGATTGAGGGATAAAAGCTATTGCCTTACAACAAGTAAAAGGGAAAATGTGTTTGTTGATTGTTCTGTTAACTCAAAAGATTACTTAGATTCAGGTAGCATCCTCACTGAAGTTGCTGTGTAAATTGCTGATCCACGAAATGTTAGACTGAGTATTATTGGACTTGCTGCAGCGGTGTACTCAGTGGTCTGACATATGTCGGGTTGTAATCTGGCTTTATATACAAAATGTATTTTTCAGGCTGGACGAGAAACAGTTTGGCCTCACGATCCTCGCACAGGATGGAGTTACTGTGTTACAGTGCCTTCATGGATTGTACTTGCAAAGTCAAGAGATTCTGACCCGATAGTGGTACTTCATTTTATTTTATTTTTTTGTGTGTTCACTGCATGATGTGATTCATCATTCATACTTGATTGTAATTATATGTTCCTAATTTATGAAATTCCTTTTTCCTTTATCCATGATACAAAATATTGTGTCAATCAAACTGATGTAGCGCAACTAACAATAAATAAAAGGAATAAATAACTAAATTAAAGATCACAAAGATCTTGTTTTTCCTCATCTCC